AAGATTTCTGTTGTAAAACTTATGCATATATATATATATATATAATATATGTGTGAAAACGTTTTTGAAATATAGATTTGAATGAAAAAAAAGACCTTCTCATGTACGATAAAGGCAATCTTGATCAATTCCATGATTTTTATTACTAAATTAAAAAATCTTGCTCTGGCTACATTTTATAATTTTAATAATAAGAGAGAACCTAACCATCCAACCCCTGATGAAATCGTAGCCGTAAAAGAATTGTCACTAAATGTTGCACTCCCTGATAAAGGCAACGCCATTGTTATTCTGAACAAAAATGACTACCCTAATAAAATTATTTACGTTCAGTTTTGGTGCACAATACATTATCATCAATTAAATGTTTTGCATTGATTAATAATTGCATATCACTCAACAGTCACTGCACCTTCTGATTGTAATTCACATTTCTGACATGGATTTTTAACCCTTTAAAACTTATTGTTTGGTATTATGTCACCTTTTATTAACAAGTATTAATAACTCGTAAACATTACTAAATATGAAATGGACATTTACAACTCATTGCATAATGTTTATGATACCTTTTGATGTATAAATTTGATTGTTTTTGTCAACTTAAAATTTATAATACAATCAAAATGTGTCATAACATAGTCATTTATTGTGGCATTAATGAGTCATGTAACCACTAAACTGATATACAGTTTAGATAGGGGTACCGTAGTAGGCCTAATGACTTCATATGCTTTGTCTTTTTTTTTTCAAAGAAATGGTGTAATAAAAAAAATTCTAAAATATTAAGAATAATTTAAATAGATTTTATATCTATATCAGTCTTATTTTATACATAAAATTTATCTATGGCCTTGTATTAATTTTGTAACAAAAAACATAACATCTTTTACTTTTGACCAAGGGCAAAATACAGTCCTGGTATTGATTGATGGCCATGAATTACATAACTTGATTTGTTGTAAACAAAGAATTAACCGACAAAACAATTAATACCTTAAAATAAATAACCACAAGAAGCTCATTAGGTTAATAAATTGTGAAGAAGAAAATAATCCCAGGTATCACATAATGTATATATTATTTTGTCAACTTCAGAAACAAGAAAGAAAAAAAAAAAACATGGAGAAAGCTTTATTTTACAGTTCTTGACACCAACAACTTCTAAAATTCATTATTCTCAGAGCTAAAAAGTCCTCCAATGATTCATCTATGGACAACTTGTAAATGTGCAGATGGTCAATTTAATAATTTCCATCATATGAGAAATAATCCCAACAGGAGGCTAAAAATTGACAATTAGGGCTAGCAGTTTAAATTTTTTTAAATTTTTTCATGTAAAACAAGTGTTAATAAAAACTTAAAATCTTAGCATTTTAGTTTAATATGATTTTTTAGGATATATCAAAATAACTTTTTAAACTTTTAAATCATTTACCCCCTATAATGCCCATAATGTTAAATAAGAATAAACTATACTATTGATCTACTAATCTCCATTTTGATTAAGAACTACTTTATTTTGAAGATTTTATATATATATATTGGTTTTGTTTCTGGGTTTATAGGGTCTTTTGGAAAACCATGGTCCATTTAATGCTATGTGGAAGCTGTTGAGATATCAAGCTCATTTAGCTGTTTTCATGTACTTTCTTATAACCAACAGTGAACCTGCAAGTCTCGTGAGTACTAACATCTTTGTATATTACCAAATCTTTACCGATTAGTTTTATGTAAATTGAACTTATTTTGCTATTGGCATTTAAACTAATTACCAAGAGAGCCACAAGTAATGTTTTAAGTCAGAATATATTACATAATGTTTTTGTAAACATCAAGTAAATGACCTAGATTTTTCTGGATTGGCAGACATCCAGAAAATAAATGCATCTGAGGCTTAGAATAGAATTTTCTATCGACATGAAAGGTTATTATTAACTAAATTTTGGAAATTACCACAGTTTTCTTCAACTTGACTCTTATGTTTTCAAAAAGGACTTACCTATTTCTGATTGTTATCAGCTTTTCAATTTTAAAATATATAGGAAAACAATATGATAAAAAAGTATGAATTGTAATGGAACTAAGATTATAGTTTTTAGGCTATAGGGATGATTTTTTGTCCATTCTTGTATAAATGCATTGTCACCTATTGAAACTTATTCAGTTTGTACCCTTCAGTGGCACAGCGGTATGTCAGCAGACTTACAACTCTAGTAACCGGGTCTCGATACCCTTGGTGGGCAGAGCACAGATAGCCCATTGTGTAGCTTTGTGCTTAACTTGTACAAAGTTGTTCAATTTGTACAATTCTCTGAATAAATAACCATGGTTATACTTAAAGATTTTATTAAAGAATTTTGGAAAGGTGTACTCCATGTTAAGGCAATGTTAAAAAAAGATCACCTAGTCAACCAAATTAAAATTTTATGTAATTTACTGCTTTTGGATTGGTGAGTGCTACTGTTACCTTCTCACAATGAAAATGTTTTACCAAATTGTTTGAAACATACAAATAATTTATTAAATTTTATCTAGTTTTGGCTTAAAAAAATTCATCTAGTTATTTATTTAGTTTTTCTATCATTTTTTTATGTCATGCAATTTCCAATATTTTATTGGGTGCTATTTTTTATTCTTTAACAGCAGATGACATTTTATATATCCAGTCCATTTCAAATTGATTGATTTAAACTAGCACGTTTCTTTTGATACTTTATTTTGCCAGTTGCAGTGATCACCATTTCCAATTATTAATTATAAATATATTCACATAAACTGACAAAAATTTATTGGTCATTTAGAACCAAACCTTTCAAACTGGTGTCAGGACAGGCTGGATAACAGTATTTTTCCTAATAGCATTCTTGGTCAAGATCAAGTTATATCTAACAAAAAATAGTTTATTTTTGATAAAAAGTTGTTGTATATATGGGCATTGTTTCAATGGGATAAACTTAATATTTAATAAATAAGGATTTGAGTCATCCAAATATTTTACCAATGCCTAGTGTACTTGCTAAACTGAATTAAGCTTATCTGAAATGTTATCGTAGAAGAAAATTTCTTTCGTTTCCAAACAAATATAAATTTAAAACTTTCTTGAGTGAAAAGAATGTGTAGAGAACTAAAAGCAAACATACAGATATGTGGCTTGTTCCTAAGTCTTATAGGATTGCATTGTTTTTTCTTGATGGAGCTAGGTCAACCTGACACTCCCATAAAACCTGTTTTATGAATATTAACATGTATTATTTTATGATTTGATGTGTCCAAACTTTTCGTATTTATACTTTATCTGGAGTTATTTTTCAAGCTGGCCTTCTTTAGTAGTTGTTCATTTAGATCATATGGTGGGAACAACAGGCTGTGTTAATAAAATCAAGTACGACAAGGAAAATTACATAAGAAACAAAACATCAATAATTGTATTATTAAACAATGATAGTTTTTTAGCAGTTATGAACATGTGATTTGAGATTGGCAGAAAATTATAAAAAATCTTTAAGTGTATTGTTATAATCAAAAATCCTTGAAGCTACACATAAATGTAAGCTTGAATGTGCAGTCAACATCTGGTCACTGGTCATAATTGGGTTAGAAGTCTTAGATGGCCAGAAAGGGAAGGTAGAGAGAGAGAGAGACGATACAGTTGCATAAAGAAGCCACAGTGACTGGTGTAATTGAGTCATGTACAGAGAAAAAGTAAAATACATTTAACAATAAAGGTTTTATCTAATAGTTTATTTGGCTTATATCAACAATTTCATAAATTAGAAATTTTTGAAATCTGAAACAATCCTATTTTTATTTCCTGAAAACTGTTCCTAATTATAACACCACTTACAGAATCAGATTTTGACTTACAACCATATTAGATAATGCAATAATTTATTAATACAATACACAGTGTTATAAAAATTTAAATTTTATGACCTGAGTTGATACAAAATAAATGCTAAGTGTGATGATACATGTATACTGAGAGGTAATCTTGGTCTATGTGTAAAATTTTGATGTTTTGTATATATGTGGCACTAAATGAGTTATTAAGTTGCAAGCAGTTTTTTTGATGATTTGCAGTGTAAGTACTATACTTGTCTGTAAGATGTTTTTCATGTTTTTAAGCCATGTTTTGATTTAAGTTATCTTTGACTTTAGTGCATTGGTATGAATAATATTTGTAATATTTTCTACTTTAATTAGACTATGCTGTAAAATGTAAAAATAAGGAAATCCTAGAAAAATATGGATGACATGATCTGTAAAAAAAGAAATTTTTATTAGACCAGATAAAAAATTTACATATCATATTTTTGTGACATTTATAAAAGTGTTGTTTAATAAATTAATGTGTATTCTTTACCTAAGGTTATTAGAGTATGCTGCTTTGTATATGTAATGCTATTACTTTGATCATATATATATTAAATTATTCTTGCACATTGATATAGTCATGGATTCTTTTCCTCCATTTCTGTTAAATGTTATCTTGGCTATAATTGATTAGCTAATTTTGCAAACTCTTTAAAATAGTAAACTCAGTAAGCTACTTGTTTCATTCTGCTTTTATAAATAAACACTACCATTCAGACGATTAAGAATTAGGTAATATTAACTTTTTATTTGAAGTGTATTATGATATTCGGTTTGTTATACTTAAGTAGTTTGTTTATTCAAGAACAATATGTATAGTAACTCATTATTCCTAAGATTCTTATGTAATTTTTTTTTCAGTTTTTCTACTTGATTACTAATAGTTTCCAAGAAGGAACAGTAAAAGAAATGAAGAAATGGGCTTATGAAATTCATTCAAGCTTCCTAGTGCCCGGTGCTGTAAGTAAATCAAAGATGTTCAATAATTTGTAAATGAAATCGGAAATATAGTTTAAGGCTATTTATTCTAAGTCAGTTTTCATTTTTATTCAACATCTTTGTGTGTGTATTACAGTGTAGCTGAAAAGCATTCTAAATGCAGAGATATAAGAAATAGAAAGAAGTAACAAATTTTGCAACTTATTATAAAAATTCAGCAGTATTAAATAACTTTGAAGAGATAACAAGGACATCAATATTTTTAAAGATAGATGTGAAAAAATTGCAAGAACCTCATCATGGATTATTGTTGAATTAAAACATTTTGAAGAATGTATTGTCACACTATTTTTAATTTTATGTTAAAAACAAGATACAATATGTAACAGAATAGGTGGATTCATTTGATATACACCTGTGAAGTTAGCTATTTAATCCTCTTGATACAGGTAGGTCAAAGTGTACACATCACAAGCATTTACAGAGTGTCATTCAAAATTTCATTAAACTACATTATTAAAATGTATAAGAATAAACATGGCATTGAAATATAGTTAATAAATAAATTATTAATACCATACAAGTTTTAATTTCAAAAAGAAATATTTAAAAAATTCTCAAACTCCCTGTTCATGACATTTGTTCACTCCGACTTATTCCATCCTCGATTTTTTTTCATCATCTCTCTCTGATGTATGAATTTTAAAACCCCTATTTTTAGATGCATAATTTATTATTTTATCAATCTGATATAGTGTTACATTACACCTTAATAAGGTTGAGAACAAGTAATAAATCTGATATAGTGTTACATTACACCTTAATAAGGTTGAGAACAATTAATAAATCTGATATAGTGTTACATTACACCTTAATAAGGTTGAGAACAATTTTATAATTTTTCTATGAAAAAAAAATTAATGATTGAATATGCTAATTTATTATCAGTATTGTTTATTTCAGCTCCAGTAGTATTCTATATATCTATGTACATTAGAAAATACCAGCATTTGTTACATGTACTTTATTTGTTTTTCATTTAGCCTTTAAAAGTCAAGAATATCGATGAAACTATTCTAAATGAAATTGGTAAGTATAGTGTAGAAAATGTAAGTATAGTTACAACTTATTGCTTCATACTGCAGTTATGATGTGCATTTCAGTACATACTGCAAAATTTAATTAGTTTGTGATACTGATAATGGAAACTAGTGTATGTAGTTCAGATAATGTAAAACTTTGTACATGTTGATAAATATTGCTATAATGATTTTTATTTGCCATGATTTTAAAACAAAACCCATATTTTCATACTGTAGTCATTGTATTACAATACTTATATAGGATTGACATTATATTAAAATTAATATCAGTATGCAAATCAGGAAGTTGTGTGACACAGTCATTATAAAGCTGTAGTGTAACAGTATATATCAGAACTACATTTTGACATTTTGTGGGTAGTGTGATGCCATCAAAAAGTTATAGTTTTTCGGAGAAGTATATAATAGCCTGATCCAGTGCAAAATATTCTTCCACTGAGATCAGGGATTTAGATTTTCAAAGACTGAGATAACCCTTATATACAATGGAATGGGAAAACAAAGTAATATGGATCAAGTTGGGATACCAAGACCATCCAGAAAGAGACCTGTAACAAGTATAACCCGAGCTGTGGTAAGTGAAGTGAAATATTCTAACAAGTGAGAATCAAGAAGGACATCCATCTGGAAATGAATCCAACAAGGTAGGGGTCTGCAGCTCCTATAGATTTCTGTGTGACTGGCCAATTGAAATTGGTGCTGGGAAATTGTCACCTTTTTACTGGTGTGCTCTGGACTTCACAGCCTTATGATAAAGCATTTTGTAATATAAATTGTGGTGTAAGGTTATTAGTATACACAGTCATTAGATATAGTGTGACTAGACATGACAGCATGGACTGTAATGACCTAGTGAGGCATCAAAATTATTTCATTATACTGTACTCAGGCAAAACATATAAAAAAACTTGTGTTTAAATTTGTTATATCCTAAAACCTTGTCCCTGGGAAACTTAAATTTTATGAAAGGCATATTGAGGATCATATCTTTTCATGGAAGGTTTCAACATTATACAAGATACTAGCAGAAATACCCACCCTCCGTGAAGGTATAACTGTTAGTTCCTATGGAAGGCTATTGGACCTGCAGCCTTTTCTGGAACCGTCTGACAGTTCTACAACAATGTACTTATACTGAACATTCACTAATGTTCACCGTCCATCAGAAAAGGGATTTTATTGAAATTTTAGTTTAAAAATGAGCTATCATCACAGAGTTGATTTTATTCAAGTATTTCTTTGTAGATGCAGTTATCAATGAATGTACCTTGCAACACTCATGAGATTTTCACTAAAGAAAAACAAATAATTTTTTTAAGTATGTTTTTTTATTGTTTTATATTTGAAACTTACTCCTTGTTTTGTAATTGTTATTGGTTAAATCTGAAACATATCATTTTTGTAGAAATTTCAATGTTTTATTTATTGCTCAGCTATAAAAACACTGCCTAGTTTTAAAAATGTTACCCAGTTATGATTGGTGGGGATCAGTGCAGTAGTTTCAGAGATTCGAATTTTGGACGTATACATCGCAAGCTTCATTATAATAAGATTTCAAAATGTGACATTAGAAGTTTTCAATGTGCCTACCATTTTTCTTATTCATTATATCAAAGCTGTTACTAGGGTCCTTATAATACCCTGCACTCTGACACACAGTTTATACAAATCAACAAATGATATTGTTTAAAGGAAGGAAATGAAATAATGTTAGTTTTTAATAAAAGTTATAGCACACTGTCTCATGTACAAACTTTCTTCAATAAAATGTGTTTCTCATTATGCTTCTGATGAAATTTTTTCCCAGTAAGGTAAATAGCTCTTAAGAAATTTTAATTATGGGTTTTCTTTATGATCACTGTACATTTAGTTAAATATAATTTTGGTTTGATAACAGTAAGAAGTAGTTGTGAAAGAGTTTAATTTTCTTTGTATAGTTACATAAATGTTTGCTTATGATGACTTTAACTTATAATAAATGTGAGAAATCGTAATTATGAATGTAATTTTGATGGGAATAACTGTAGCAGTGATATGGAAAAAAAGAATCTTAGTATTCTAGTTGATCAGTCTCATAAGCCACCCAAGCAGTGTGATGTTGCTAGTGGTAGGGCAAATAGGATTTTAGGTTGTCTCTATAGAAGTGTTGAATACAAGTCTAAAGAGGTAATTTCAGTGAATAGGTCATTGGTAATACTTGGAGTATTGCATTTAGTCTTGGGCTCTTTACCATAGGAAGGACATTGAATTGTTAGAAAGGACTCGGAGGGCTTCTAGAATGGTACCTTGTATGGTAAGGTTGTCATATAAAGTCAGGTTAAGATCTCTGAAATTGTTTTCTTTTGAAAAACAAAAGAAGAGTTAGAGGAGATTTGATTGAAACGTATAAAATTATTTAGGGAATTGATAGTGTAGATGCATGATCATTTTTCGTATTTAATGGTAGGACTAGGAGAGACAAATTTTGGCAGGGTGGGAGTCATCTACAGCTAAGACAGCTTTATTTTTCTAACAGCTGGGTTGGCCTTTGAAATGAGTTTCCTTCAGATGTGGTGGATGCAATTAATTTAACAGAAGACTTGATAAATATTTGAATAACAAAGGCTGGTTTTAAGCATTTTATTTTCATTTAAGAGTTAGTTTAGAGGAAGGGATGGCCTAGATGGACCAACAGTTCTTTTGTCCTTAAATTATATGTAATAAGTAAAATATTATGCTATCTTAAAATACTTGGTATTTGATAGTATTTTGAATATACACATTTTTCTTGTTTTTTATTTTAAAAAGATGATGTCCTCCAAAACCAGTTAGAAAAGGAAGATAATCTTAGAAGTATTTTTATAAAGGCTAGAAGAAAAGCAAAAGAAGAACTTAATGAACTACTGGCTGACTTTAGATCAAAACGAAACCTTTGTAAGTGTGCATGTTAATGAGCTATTTTTGTTGTAAAGGTTTTGACAATTTTGTGTTTCCTAGCAAGCTGTAATTCTATGTCTATCATCTAAGCAAGCTTCTTGACAGATGTGCTTACATATAACAAGGAAGAAACATTAGTGAAAATTATTAGTGCTTTGAATGGTAAAACATTTTCAGTTATATTCGTGTAGTTCCCTTTCAAGTAATGCAAACTTAATATAAGTTGTTAAAGGATCTAGCCGCCACCACCCTCAAGGACAAAGTCTGTCAATTTGATAGACCTCAGTCTTTTTTGTTACACAAGCAAATTACAGAACCAAATCACACACAGTTTGACAAAACATTCGCAAGAATATATAGTTTGTATGTAAAGAAAGTAATTTAAATACATTTAGTATTTGTTTGACTTCATAATTTTTTAATTTTATTAAACTTCATTATAAAACACTGTTCATAAAAAAAAGAAAATATACATATATATTTACATGTGTCTTAGATTTCTCTCTTTTTTTTGTTGTTATCAGCTTAAAAATCTGAAAAAGTTTGTCTCTTTTTTTTTTTCCAATGTGTCTACAGGTTTTGTGATGAGTAACCCACTTTGAGACAACAAAGTTTGAAGACAACTTGAATGGGTGATAAAGAAAACTATTACAAATTTAACATAGTGACAAGTGTACAACATTCAGACAAAACATTGTTATACATTTGTTAAAATGTTAAACTTCAAATAAAGTTGTCTTCAATATCCACTCAAGCCATCTTCAAATCCAGTTTGTCTGATTTTATTCCAGTATCACCATACCAAATTTATAGAAATTTCTGTGTGATTATTTGCCTACACGATGTAAAAAGTTTGTAATAAAATATAAAAGAAATATGCAAAATCAAGATTTATTTAGTTATTTATTGACCATATAAATTTTATATACCTAACCATATAGCATGTTTTATATTCATTACCTTAATTATTTTTATGATTTTCTTTTGGTGAATTTGTTTTACTTACTCAAGCAATTTTCTAGCCCAATAAAAACAAAATAAATTCTGCTTAACCCTAAGTATTCTCATGTGAATTCTTGGAAATGAATATTTTTCGAGCTTTCAGAAGAAAGTAATATAACAGAATTCAAATTTCAGCAACAAGAAATTTCTAAAGAAACTATAAAAAAACTCCCTGGTTTTTAATTACATGGTAACAGTTGTTGATGTTCACCTTTCAAATGTGGCTTTACTATATATCTTCTTCAAAGCATGTTGCTTTGTTATGAGCAGATTGGCTGGTTGGACTTGTGAGATCAGTACAATGGAAGAAAGGAACTTTTTGGAATGGATGAATTAAATTTAAATAAGATAGGGGTCTGGCTCGTTTGCTAGGGTTATCAACTCAGTCGTAAGGGATGTTTTAAACTAGGACTAGACAGTGGTGAGGGCCAGGATAAACTAAATGCAAAAATGATAAAAGGCAGGAAAAAGTTTAGTATAAGAAATGAGTATAGAAGTAGTTATAAGGGTAGACTTAATTCTTACTGTTGTAATGCTAGAAGTATAAGAAATAAAATATATGACTTTAGAGCACTGGTAGGAATGGAGGATTTTGATATAATGAGAATAACTGAAACATCGTTAAATGTATATGATTTTGATAACAGAAATTTCTTTGAAATATAGGGTTACAGGCCATTTAATAGGGATAGAGTACTAAAGATGGGGGGAGGAGGAGTGGCTTTATATGTAAAATCTTAGTTGCATCCTGCTGAAGTTGAGGATGTCAAGATAATAGTAAGGAGATTGAATCCATTTGGGTTTCTATCAGTGGATATAAAGGAAAAGGGCTTTTAGTGGGAATTTGTTACAGACCACCAGATGATGCTGATGAAATTAATGAGAAACTTTACAATGAGATTAAGATTTCAGCTGTTAATGAGGTCATAATTATGGGTGATTTTAATTTCAGGCATATAGATTAGGAAATGCTAGAGTCGAAATGTGATGGAGAAAGGCTTTTGGAAACTGTTCAAGATGGCTTTCTTCACCAATTAGTCAAGGAACCAACTAGAAACAGTGCTATTTTAGATTTATTGTGAACTTTAAACACTGAAGTGATAGAGAGGGTGGAAATTGGGGAACATCTGGGTCTATGTGATCATTGCTCTATCAGGTTCAATGTTTTACTGCATATGGAGATAAAAAATAATTATATTTTGGTTAAAAATTTTGACGAAATGCGACAAGAATTATCTGTTGTGAATTGGGCAGCTGAGTTATTTGGAGACACTGATGAGATGTGGAAAATCTTGAAATTTTCTAGGTAAATATATTCCTTATAGAAAGAAAAGGGTAGCTGCAACTAAAATCACATGTTGGCTCACAAACAGTTTAAGAGATAAAACTAAAGAAAAACATCATAAATATAAGAAATTTAAATTGACTGGTATGACAGGAGATTTAGAGGATTATAGAAGATCATGAAAGTTGGTCTGACAGGAAATTAGAACATTATAGAGGATGTATGAAAAAAGGTTGGTCTTAAAATGTAAAAATTAACAGTTAGTATTTCTTTAAATACATTAAGGGTAAACAAAATGTTAGGATGGGGGTTAGGACCCTTGAGTGATGATAAACGAAGGCTCATATCTGATGATTATGGTTATGGCTGGGTTATTATATTTTGTTGTTTCTTAAGTTTTTACTAATGGATATTTAAGCAGTATTCCACATCTTGAACAACTGATAGATGGAAACAAGATGACTGCATTAATTCTGAGTTTGTATAAAACTGTGTAGGAAATTATGCATAGTGGTTGTTGAAAAAGATAAAAGAAGTATGTTATAGGTTAAACCACTAAGGAGTTAATATATATAATTGTGGATACAACGTTTCGGGCAATGCCCTTCTTCACTAACATTTAACAAAATTTAGAATTTTATTTGATAGTTAACATGGTTT